TTATTAGGTATATCGTTAATGTTTGTATCCTATGTATCAAGAATTTGATATTTAGAGGATTAAAGTTATTATTATTAAAGCAACAAATAAGTTCTTTTCGACCTGCTATTTTCTAAGAAATTATATAATACTTACTAGAGTTCCTTATACTTACTTCACTCTCTACTCGGCTCTCCCTAAACCCTTTAGAACTCCTATATAGCTGCTACACATGTTAAAGATATGCATACTAACTATCAAATGATATTTGTTTACTCTTCTAGATGCAGAAGGTTCACCATTGTGTGTGCTAAGTTCAAAACCTAAAAAYGAGTGGATTTCTATAAATTATGTGAAGGTATTTCCTCTAAAATTGCTTGATATGAAAGTTTAATAGCTACTAGTCAATATTAATTATCAATATATTTTCCTTTTCTTTTAAGGCTGATCCTAAAGGTCCTGAATTTTTAACWAATTTCAATAACACAGAACAATTTATCAAAGTGGTTTTTACATCAATTGAGTTGACAGCCAAGAAGGAAGCCCTGGCTAATTTTCAACTATTTGTGCTGGGCCTTCTTGAAAGGTACAGTATCACCATTATTTCCTTTGTTATCATAATATGTACTAAGCAGTGATTGAGTTTTAGACTGAATTAAAGTGAGTTGATGGTCAAAATGTCATTCCAAAACTGATTTTCATACATTATGGGGAACTTTCTTCTCTTTTTCTAGTAGTGGAAGTCAATCTGCTCTTCCAGTCATTCCMAAAAAAGTGGTTCCATTGGAGACAATTGCAGAAGATGAGGCTCTTGATGTGCGTCCTGTATCACCTGGTAAATCATTTTAATTAACTTTTTAATATTTGAGTATTGTATGTATTAAATAGCCTAGCACTTAGCCATGTATATATATCTAGATTATAGGAATGTTTATCATGATTAAATACTGTCTGATGATTGTGTAGCACGAAACTCTGAGTTACAGCAAAATCTTGCCTCTTTGATATCATATAATATAATATTTGAGTACATGTAGTTTTGACATTAAATGAGACTTAACTCTTTGTTTAGTTCAACACTCTGCCACTGATGTCTTCATTGAGACTGTGATTGAAGAAGTTTCCATTACRTTAGTAGCAAAGGAGCAGACTGTTGGGCAAATTCAAGTCTCAGGTGAAAAAAACTGGCGATTGTAGTACTTTTATCACAACTTTACAAATATAGCTATTTAAAAAAGGTTGTCGGATAAAATGGCAAATGTCAATTGTCGAATGGCGATTGCACGATTGAAAGTAGCCATGGGTTTCACYTGGTGAAAGGCAATAACAACTGATTTGTACTGTAAGATGGTCTGTGGTAAACACTGTATCCATTTAGTCTCCATTTCTATGTAAGGTGAATCCAATAAGTGAAATTTTGTTTATCAAAACAGTGTAACAAAAGGCTGTTTTGTTCGCGCAATCTCCCTTCGACAATCGCCGTTTGTCATTCTCCCTGACAACGTTTTTTGAAATAGCTGTGTATTGCTGCATATTCGCTTTATCTGCTTCTTTAATGATGAACTTCCTTGTCCTTTTGTTACAGGGCTGAATGTCAATATAACCATGTCTGGATCTGAAACYAAAATCAGCACAATGTGAGTTCTTGTGCGCTGCATACAGTTTGCAGTTTGTTACAATGTACATGTAGCTTGAAATATGAAATACAGTTTTCATGTCATTGTAAATATTCATAAGTAATTTTAAATGATCAAGAATTGTTTGACAATTCCATGAGCTGTAGTTGTGAATTAACCAGATTATGTATTGTATATCRGGCTTTATATCTTTTTGTCTTTGCAGGCTCAAAGATCTTGGTGTGCTGAATGCAACAGAAGGAACCCTTTATCCAAAGGTATTGTTCAGCACCTTGACATCCTCTTGCAAAGTTCCATAATTGGAGGGAGTGCTATTGCTCTGCAGTAGTTAATATAGTTAATGAACTGTCCCTATTATCTCATTTTGATAACTCATTAACTCATTTTGATAATCCTGTTTTCAGATTCTCTGTTTACAAGACAACACTGTCTTTGATTGTGAGGTAAAATACATGTTAATGCCAGTTGTCTCCCTCTTGATGAAATTGAATTTCTATTCTTGAATTTGATTTGAATGGCTAGGTTCTTTGTATTTGCCCATTAGTTTAGTTACATTTATTTATCTTTTTGCAGATCACTCTTTTTGACAACAAACAAAAGCCCACTGATCCCTTGGCACTAGATGTTGCAGTYGACTTGAGAATAGGACAATGCAAGTTTGTGTATCTTAGTGGATTTACAGCTCATATCCAGGTGGCTACTGTCTTATAATGTGTTATTACCATTTGCTTCTAGAGTGTTAAGCTCTTGTTTATGTATTATAATAATYATGGATTTTCCCATTTCTTTGTAGAATTTTGTCCAAGCTCTGGTCAGCCCTGAAACAGTTGCATATGCTCAAAGCATAACTCAGCAAGCTTTGAAGTCAAAGGTATACTGTACAATAGTTTTCAWTGWCACTTTCCTTCTTTAASKTCAGCACATCAAGGAGCTTTCCCAATCGTTTGTTTTATAGTTTTCAAAATGATTTGTGGAATATGTAATATGCTCTCCAAATTGTTCAAGATCAAATAATATGGCAATCTTGTGAATGGGAGAATAATGTTTTTTTTTTTTTTTTTAATTTTATGTGAGAATAATGTTGCACATAGGCCTTCAAGTGATCAAAAGAAAAGTGAACTCAGATATATGGTGTTCCCTTTTCAGGCTCAGAACATACAAGAAAGTGGCTCAAAGATTGGTATTAAGATCAGCGTACATGCCCCGACAGTGTTAATACCAGGGCATTCATTTTCCAGCGATATGCTTGTTGCAGAACTTGGAAAGTTAGAAATCACAAATGCCATTGGCAAAACAAGGGATGGCATTATTATGGACTTCATRGATGTTTCCTTGAACTCTTTCTCAGTTCACTGGTAATTGATAAAATGAGAACATAAATATACGCAAATTTTGTGCATAATAGGGGTTGTCTTCTTCAATGAAATGTGATTCCTTTCCTTAGTTTGTCAGAAGGCAGAAAGTTGGCAGCAGATTACCTTATAGAGCCCATTAAACTTGATGTTACAGTCAGAAGGACATTGCAGGTTACTCMATCCAGCATCCCTTTGATTGAAGTTGATGCTGTGCTYCCMCTTCTTCAGGTAAATCCTTGTGCTGCTGCAGTTGCAGCCRTTATTTTTAGCAATGTCAGTCAATGTAATGATTCTGCTTATAAGTAAAATAATTATGTTATCTGTTATGATTATTGTTACTGCATCCATAATTGATCGTGACACTGTTTTCACTAGTGCTAAAAGTTGGTGATAGTTATGTTTTCATATAATAATGATAGTGGTACTTTTTGTGAATTTGCAGTTAAACGTAGCCATACCAGATTATAAACTCTTAATGACTGTTATAAATAAGAACCTATCAGAGGGAAATCAAGGTACAGTATGTTCTTATAAACTTTGGATTAATATAACTACCCCAAACATTGTAGTCTAGAGTCGATTTAAGATAAAGAAAAATGTGCAAAATAAAGAGAAATAGAGCGAAGTACACTGATGTAACTTTTTTATTCCAGAACTTGAGACTCCTGATCCTMTACCTTCTGATTCAAAATCRACTATWAATGAAGAAGTCATGGAAGGGCTGAGGCAGAGATTGGGAAGTGGTAAATACATTTTAATAGAACTAATTTTGTTATTTYATGTGGTTTGCTTTAATGTGATGTTTACCCGTTGCGATGATCATAGTTTTCCAGGAAAAGTCCAAGTCAGTCTCTGCACTTGCTGAAGATAATCAGATCAACCTTAGGTGCAACATAGATGTCAATAAGGTACTATACGAGTCACTTCACTTTTCTCCTAGCCAAGCTTTTCCATTTCTCTTGGTTCGCTGCTRCTGCTCTTGCTTCSTCCCATGTACCAAATCCTAATTCCTTGYCACTTAACTCKGATTATACTTCTTRAACACTTGTTTTGGAACAATTGATTTTATTATCATTTTACGTTTRAACTTAGGTGGTTGTGTTCTCTCCTGTCATTGTGAATGGTCATGCAAAACCATACCTCATCCTTACTGTAGAAAAACTGTTATCTACTGTCATCATGGATACGTGGACAATTGGTGTCAATGCTGAACTTGGAACTCTTGAACTGTTAGATAGTATCAATACAGGTAAAAATGCCGAAGAAAGCGGAAAATGGCTTATAAATTTAATATTATTTCATCTTCAGCACTTTTTTAAAGATCACGATACTACACTATTTGATAAGAATTTCATATTAGTGAAGATAATGGTGTTCGATATCATTTGAAAGATTTGATGATTTGATGATTTCTTTCCTAGGTAAACGTGACCAGCCAGTGTCAATTCTCTCCTCATCAAAACTTGAAGAYCTCATCTCATTGGAATACAAAATGGTTGGTAGCCGTGGACTCTGCTTTGTTGAAAAACATGCAAAATGTGACACAAATGACTTTTGAATGTTTGTTGCACAGGTTGATCCAGCTTGTCCTGATTTTGAATCGACCTATTGTGCTGTTGAGCAAACTGCAAACTTTAAATTTAGGAGATTGAACATCAACTGTCCACAAAMGTCAGCTATGTGTCTGCAAGAACATGTCCTTGCCATGACTTCCAGGTATCTTTGTTAGGATTTTTGTTACTGTGAAAGTTTCATTGAAAGTTAAACAGCCATACATATACTTTATTTGATTCCAGTGATGAAGAGGTTCCATCTCAAACAGAGACCTTAGACACAGGCTCAACTTCTTCCTCAGCATCATCAACTCCAAAAAAGAGTTCAAGCTTCAAACTTGGTGCAACATTGTGGGAGGTTGATGTTCTACTAAGCATGGATGGTAGACCATTAACCAATATTAACATCAAAGGTTTGTGTGACACTCTCATCTTTATAGTCATTATTGGTCATTTGTTGTTGCCTTTTTTCTACCAAACAACACCATTACTGTTGGATTTGTATGGCAATGAGAAAGGATATGGTCTTTGTGTTGTAACAGTTGTTGCTCAAGCTTCCTAATTGAAAAAAAAAAAGTTTCTTTATCGTAACTGAAAAGATGGAAAAGATGCCTATTAGGCACGTTATTAGGCACGTTATGGGTTCTCTATCCATTGGCAGGATTCTCCACATAATACCCGTGATCTCCACACTAGTATAAGCGTTCTCTGCTCACTCTCGTGTTCTCCACCAAGAGGTCTCAATCTCCCCCATTCCATCTTTTTTTCATCCAAAACAATATCATTAGTAACAAGGTCAGGAGTAAACGACTGCCTATGCACAAAAACTCACATTTTGTTTAACCTTTTAATAGGACTTGCTGCAGATATTTTGATGTGGGATGGTGGAATTGTAGTAAAATCAACGTAAGTATCGAAGCTAGTTCAGTTGTAATGCACGGGCCTGATTTTAGTAGGCATTGTCAGTGATAATAAAATCTTACACAAATAATATATACCTTTTATTGTTCAAGGCAAAGGGATCTATCCATAACTGACCTGAACGCTGATACATATTATCCTAAGGTACAATCTTTAGCTGTATCTGAACACTGCTCGAGTGTAGTTTTCATAAAATCGTTTGTATAGTTATAGTCATGCTTCCTTATCTAAGGAATAGAGAGMAATGCAGTCTGAAAGATGTTATGGAAACTTAGTCTTATGAAATAATGCTTTGCTAAATTTTCAGATCATCTCAGTTGAGAATGAAAATGTGTTTGACTTTGAGGTAACTTTTAATTTGTGTCTCATTTTATTGTATAAGTGAGAAATTCTTTATTTGTTAATTGTTATTATTATGTCCTTAGTTCAAATCCTTGAACCAAGAGGATGCATTTCCAGTCAGAGAAGATGATACTCGTTTGGATCCAGACAGCTCTTTGGTTATGAACGTTGGTCGGGTCAATGTGGTCTTTGTGTATAGATTTATTGATGAACTAATGGTATGGATCTGTGAATAGAAATGGAACTATTCCAACCCTTCTCCTAAATACTACACAATTRCACTTGTTGTCGAGAAATATGTCCAGCGAGGTCATTTCCACTCTCTGCCTGCTTGTTATCTTGTAAAGTGTGATTTTTCTTAATGCTGATTTCTTTTGCTGATATTGGGTTGTTTTTATTGGCTATGAAAGGCATCCTTAACCAAAATGTAGGTTAATACGGTGTGAAAAATGATTATGTTACTTTCTTGATTTTAAAGCGTTATATTGAACCACTGACTAGCCCTCAGTCAACCAAGTATGTCCAAGAGACAGCACAGAAGACAGTTTACTCCCAGGTTGTGTATAATCATGAGTTTTCCTATATATCATTTTAATTATTGCTCTCGCACTCGCAATAACGATCCAACTTGAACTTTTTTGTAGATTGAGAACATCCAATCTCAGGGCAGTCGAATCTCTCTGAGTGTTTCMATTAATGCACCCCTGGTTGTCATGCCTCGCCACTCGAGCTCTGTTGACATGCTGATTGCTGATCTTGGCCATCTTGAGCTTCAGAATGAATTCCAACTGTTCGAACTTGAGAATACCAAAGAGAAGATTGTGTTCGACATGATGGACTTAAACTTACAGTCTGTCCAACTAGCTAGGTTGGATTTTTTTATGGAAATGGGGAAGGATATTATCTGTGTTGTAACAATTGTTGCAGGAACGTTCTAATCCAAAAACAAAATTCGTTATCGTAATTGAAACAAAATGGYAAAGTKGCTTATTTTTAGGCACATTTTGGGTTCTCCACCCATTGACAGGGCTCTCCAYGCAATGCCAKGGATATCCACTAAAGTATAAGGTTTATCTACTCAGTCCCGGTTCTCCACCAAGTAGACGCCATCTCCCCCAGTGMCAAGAGTTCTGGCCATTGCCAGGATTCTCAACCAAAGTTTCTCTAAATTGATGTTARCATTAAAATATGTTGTTATTTTTACAGAGGAAGAATGGACCTTAGCAATTCTTCTGTTATCAAGAGATACCTTATTGAACCAATTAAGATGGATGCCAATATCAGACGCTCTTTGAAACCCTCTTGTCCTGAGTTCCCTTTTATTGATGCCCATTGCTCTCTTGATTATATTAAGGTATCATAATAGACATACTTAACAGGCATGAAATAGGGCAGTGAACCGTACGAACAGCACTAGATACGTCCTAAAGTGTCTCTAAAGACATTAGTAGTGGTGAAATCCATAAAGAAATTCTTAAGGGCCCTGAAAACCTGTTTTTGAAGTCATATCCTTAAAATGTTGATAGAGTAACTGTCTGTTTACAGATGAATCTTGGAAGTAAGGACTATGAGTTGCTAACCACAATAGCACAAGAAAACCTCAATGAAGGGCAAGCCCCAATCAAAAAAGAGAGTGTCACAGGTTTGAAGTATTGTCTGATTTAAGAAACATTTGTGATATGTAACATGTGATAAATGTTTGAAAAAAAATGCAGCAAATTTAAAGAAGCTCGTGTATTTATTATTAAGTGAAAGTAAGCAGCGTTTAGTGATGAATTATGAACAAACAAACATCGTTTACAAGCAAAACAATTTTAACTGCTTTAGTGTGTGAGATTCCTTGGATTGTCATAATGGTGAACATACATTTCTCTTCACATTGAAATTATTTCTTTAATATCCAAAATCGTCATTAAAATAGATTTTCGTCACTTTAACCAGTTGTATAAACGTACGTAGAGTCTTATGGTGATGGTTGAATTCTGCAATTACAGGCCTTTCTCAATAACTAACTCAACTTTACACTTCACATAACTTACTCTTAACTTTCTTGGAATATCTGCGTTTAGTGGATGCTAGCGTTACTCCTGAKGATAGTGCGAATGAAAATAGAGCAGAAGCAGATGATGAAGAATCTGATGGTAAATAATGCAACTAACCAATCAACTATCCATACGYCAACCAATCATTCAATCATTCATCCATTCAAACCATCAATTKATCAAGCAAGAACCGACCTATTATGTATGTGCCAATATAATCGTTTTCTCACCAGAAACGATGTCTATGGAATCTGCAAGTTCTCAAGAGGCATATGAATACATGGAGTTCACTTTTGATCTTCCTGGCGTTTCCCTTACGCTGTACAAGAATGAAAAAGACCTTGTGAGTATAAAAACAAGCTGAATTTTAGTAAGACATTTAATCAAGTAAAAGTATTATTTTTGGCTTATCATATACTTTCAGTATGGGTTTAACGTAAGATCCAAGGGATGTCTATGTTCTCTTAAGATTAGATTTTTGCTTTACAGGATCCATTTGACTCTCAGTCTCCTATATATGAACCAAACACTAAGCTTTGCCTATTTGAAATTGAGGAAACAACAGTTCATWTTGCAATACCTACGGATAACAGTGTCCACGTTCGTGGTATACTACACGAACTTGTGGTAGAGGATGTAAGGCCTGATACCTCTTCAGCATTCCCAAGGTATTTTATATGTAATATATCAGTTTTCAGTCAGTACTTATGAAGGTGCAAGTGGCTTCTTTGTCTTGTTTATTTGGGTCTAGTGGTGTGAGAAGTATTGTATACTTGAAGTATTCTAGTTGTGATGTGTATTCTCCATGCCACCTCTATGTCTCATAGTGAATCTCAGATTTTTATTCCAAATACCAGGTTGGTTGACAAGAAAATGCAGGCCTATTCTAAAGTTCTGAAGTCTTCATCTGAAGAAATGTGTGAATTTATCTATCGCCAGCAAGCCAATGGAGACATGGACAGTATGTTTGTAGTTCAAWCGTCGTCTTCACAGAGAAACGCCAATATGAAACGTTATACACCTTTATTCTTTTGCAGTTCTGTTTCAGTTGCAGCACGCAACTATATTTGTGAACTTCCCCTTTATCTGGCCATTACTAGAATTCTTCACAACTTCACCTCCAGCAGATGCAAAAAAGGAAGTCTTTGTCACCCCTGCTGAGAGCCAAACATCAATTGATGGCATTCCCGATGAAAGAGATACAAATGAACCACCTTCTATTGACCCTCCTGAGAACACACCCATTGAGTCAACAGCCCTCCAGTACACAATAACAGTCCGTGGAACAATTAAAAATCCTGATATCGTTTTGTTGGCAAATCCACTTCGAAGAGATTCAGAAGCATTGATTATGGAAGTAAGCAGCTTTTTTCCCTTCTATCCCATGTGGTATGATTCATTTATCTATCTCTTCTTTTTTAGACGGAACTGGAGTTTGAATACCTCATGGACAAAGAACAGCAAAAACTGTCTTCAAATATTCATAGTTTGCAAATGGCATCCTGTCAGTACCCCAATGTGAAGCAAACATCATTTATGGTAAGCAAGGCTACAGGTTTTAGATTAGTGGTAATGATCGAAAATCAGMAATAAGGCATTGAAATGTTTTCTTTCCAAAAGGTCTTRGAACCCTGCGATCTGACATTCAAATACAAGACACCGGTAGAAGATGGCAAAGGGCAGGGAATAGATGTCGATGTAGATACAATGAAGTTCAGATTTTCGCCATTTCTTTACAAAGTTCTGAATGATGTGATGTTGACCCTGTCTGGCCAGGAAAAGGTACAAAATAAAGCGAACTACAGATCACGACATTGAAATAATTTTTTAAGTTATTACCACGAAAGTGCTATTCTATAGCCATCTATTCATTGAGTGACTAACTGATTGACTATACGGATATTGGCAGGTAACAGAGGGTGTTCAGACTGAAGGAAATGACATAGTAAATCCTCCTGATGACTTATGGGAACCGAAGCAWATCACTGCTGAATCCTGGAACAAAACTTCTGGTAATAACGGTATACATTACATTAACAGTATGTAGTATTCACAGTAGGTTGTTGATTGTAATTCAATCTGCCAGTACCCTRCCAGACAATCCTTGATTATTTCTTTACTACAATGATGATATTTTGTATCACTTTAGCAGAAACATCCACAGACAAGGCAGTTTTTAGACAGTCAACTGGTGATAAGGTATTTTCAAGGAAATTCAAACACTGGTCACCAACAATGAATACTTAAATAAGAAAACCATAGAAACCAATTGTAAATAATTTCTTAACTGGTTTCCTTGCAGATTGTATTGAATACTAAAGAGGTTCAGATCGAGATGGTTAATGAAGTRCATGGAGCCCAGGTTCCTTTGGTACTTATCAAAACGACTGTTCAAGCWAATGCCTCTGATTTTACTGCACAGGTAAAAAGATTGTTTTTTTTTGTGATTGTTGAGAAAAGTTCAAGACTTATCTGATATATTTACAGATGAAACTAGAAGCTGATGTAAGTGTGGAGATTTCTTATTATAATGAACATTTTGGTGCCTGGGAACCTCTTGTTGAGCCTATAGAAGAGGACCGTGATAACCCACGATGGGAACTGCAGATAAAGGTAAGGCGAATTCGCTCGAGTAGTTAAGTAGATTAASGTCACAAGTTTCTATAAGATTAGCAGTCAAAACGTCATAGCTGTGCAATTTAAGGGTTCATGTCTTGGTTTTACTTTTAATATCTTAGTTTTTTTTTGCTGATGGCTATATATCGTCCTTCACACCACTTGATCAAGAGTCCATTGATGGTCCYCCACAAGATCTGACTGATGGTCCTGGTGCACATAGATGGAGACCATGGCAGGGCCGTCCACGTTCGGAATCCAAAAAGAAACYWACCTCCAAGCGTTCTTCAACTGGAAAAGAAAAAGTAAAGTCATTTAAAAGGTAATKTTTAAATACAGATGATGATGATGGTGATGATGGTGATGATGATATTAGCTAATATGCTATTGTTATGGTAGCGGCTTTGATGTCCATGTTTTCTATAATCAATTAAATCTTGAAAAAGCAATGGGAATAAGTCACTAGGGTTCATTTGATTTTGTCAAATGGGCCAACAACTGTCTTAAGCATATAATTTCATAATACTTCMATTTCAAAAGGTCCAAACGCCATGCACGCCGAGGACTACCTCACACAGAAGATGATGAAGAAGACCTTGACTATTCTRGTGCACTGCAGCAGTTTGTTGTCAGCTCAACAAGACTGATAGACGATGCTGCAGAYGAWACAGTCGATGGTGTTACAACTTCAAATGACGATGGTTTCCTACAGAATGAGCCAAAACCTCAAGCAACATACATASTGATCAATTCACATGATAATATTCAGTTAACAATGACTCCTACTGCCTTAAATGTACTTACGGACATAAGTCAGGTAACTGTTAGATTTTTGGYGAGGTTAGCACTACTCCTTGAAATCCTTGAAAAGCCACAGAATATATACTCGTTTTCAAGACCTATTGAAAATCCCATTTTCAAACATGACTAYAGGAAAACGTTTAGAAACCCCAAACGATTAAKTTTTTTCGTGCTTTGAAAAGGTACTTGAAAAGTAGATAATATTTAACATGAGACTCGACTTATTATTTTATATTGTTGCACTGTTTTCCGCATAAATGATTGTTGTTATCTACAATAATAGGCGTTTTCTGCTACAACTGAACCTGCTTTGAGAAGTATTCCTGGACCAATGTTTTCTATCCATAATGAGGTAAGGAGTAAATCTCAAGTTTTAGTATAATTTTCCTTTTATCATTGTCAAATACCATCTTTTTAATACCAACTTCTACTGGATGATCTTCCTTAGATTTCACCCCATATCATGAATAATAACCAGATGGCTATTTCTTGTTTTGTTCGTTTGTAGCTTGGAGTTCAYTGTACTGTCATTGTGGAGCATGATGAGAAGGTAGTTAATACATGAAACGAAATGAWCATTTGAAACTTCATTCGCTGTTACAATGCTGTGAAAACCCTGTAGCTAAAGGACAAAGTACCTCTCTTTCTTGAATATGAAATTGAATTTCAGGWGTCACCTCCTTATTAAACTGTTTCTTGTTTTGTCATTGCAGATTCTTGATAAAGATGACGAGATCCTGACCATAAAACATAATAAGCCAAAGCTAGAACGTAATAAGAGTTTGTCTGATGCCTTTGCCAACCTGGCTTCTTCAATACTCGCTGAACAAAGAAAGAAGAAGAAGAAGAAGAAGAAGAAAAGGCTGTTCTCAGAACCTCTCCTGGGACGATTTAGGGAAAAATTCATGAAGATTCAGAGGCGTAGAGCAATGTCTTTGCCTTTAGCACTGGAAGGGAAGATACCCTGTACGACGAAAAAGAAAACACAGTTCCAGATTGGAGATGATYCCAGRAAGCCTAAGTTAAAAAAGAGTGTTTCTCTTGGTGTGCAACCAGTCACGGGGTACTTCTTGTTTGCTAATGTTTATAGTCCAGCCTTCTTCACTTAGACGTACTGTTTATAGTCTTACCTTCTTCACTTAGACGTACAATGTCTTATATTCGTGTTTGCTACTTTTTATAATCTTGCCTTCTTCACTTAGACTAACAATGTCTTATATTCGTGTTTGCTACTGTTATAATCTTGCCTTCTTCACTTAGACTAACAATGTCTTATATTCGTGTTTGCTACTGTTTATAGTCTTACCTTCTTCACCTAGACCTACAATGTCTTATATTCGTGTTTGCTACTTTTTATAATCTT